AGGTCCCGGACATATATACAACCAGCATCGACTCAGGCCGCACGTTCGCAGTCGGTCGTTGATCAGTGAGTCCACTCTCAACCTGGAATCAGGTCATCAGATTATCGCAGACTGTACTAACCTAGTCCTCCTTGTCCTGTTCGCGTTTCAATCGCAATAGCGCTGACCTGGATTAGTTTTTTTACTCTCCAACACACGTGCTCATTCGTGTCGTTATGGTCTGATTTTCTCGCAACGAGACCTATCGCGCCCACTGCTAACCGCGCTATTCTTACTGCTATGACCAGAAGTTCAGCTGCGCCCACGAATCGTCAAGTCAGGACAAGACATGTACCTTGTCGCTTTCGAAGCAGGCTCTTGTGGATAGCTCATTGAGTCTGCGCCAGCGTCTCGCCTGCCCCGGATTGTTCCCGAGGCGCAGGTGGCAGCGAGTGTGACTTCAGGTGCGCGGGTAGGCGAAAGTCGGCTACGATCAGCACAACTTGGATGATGTGATGTCTTTGCACATCAACCGCGACGCGCTAAACACACAGCAGGGTCTTGTTGCGTACGGTACGATCACGGCTCAGTCGCAAATACCGCATCGATCCTACATTTGGAGTGGACACGATGACTGCGATGGTGCTATGTAACATTCTGCAGCATCTGCTCGACCATCACACCGACGCGCAAATGCACAGCGGCGTCACGATAATCCTTCCATGTAGCCTGTATCACGTGTCGATATCAGCCTCGGTTTTCATCGCCCGTTCCGGAACCGAACGGCGTCGCGGTTGGAAAGGAAGAAGCGACTCAACGTCTCCTTGTCGCGAACGCCAACTTGAGTCAGCATGCTCAAAGTCCAGATCCTGTTTCGTCAACGTTGAGAGAGCCGGCATGCCTTCGACCTGGGAGAGACTCCATGACGATCAAGCCCTCCCGGCGTGCAGTCTACCTAGGATCACCCCCGACATGTTCTATTGACTGATAGTGTACCTTGGCGCTATCCGCGGCGAGATCCACCCTCAGCATCCATTTACTCCTCGTGTTGGGCATTTTCGCAGGTCGGCAAGCTCCATTAGACCTACTTCCACACTGCACAGGTGCGCAAATGGGTGCACATGACGGGGATGATCTACACCGGAAGATGAGGTCCCTGGACGATCCTGGAGATCCGGATCGTACGGATATTTCCTGCTAGCAATGCGCTAAGCGGCTATCTTCCGCGGAGCGCAACGAGTGCGAACATCGTGTGCGGCGAACTCCTCCCCAGGGACCAGAGGGAAAGCTTGTTTCGGGGCTACCTCGGCCAATGTCGAGTCCTCATTTGTCAAGCGTCGTGGAGGGGTCCGGCCCGCGCAGCTGTAGTCCAAAATGTAAGTGCGGGCGCCACGTGAACTTGGTTGCACACCCAACCTGCAGTTTTATTCTCCTGAGATTAACTCCAGCGCAGGATTTATTCGCCCCGTTGCAGTAGCATCCGGAGCATTAATCGATGTTTCATCCATGACCCTGCCGGGGCGCTGTAGGCAGATGCTCGAGCGGACGGCACCCACGACTATCGACTCGCCGGACTTGTAACTAAGGACATCGTCTGTTGCACAGTTTCGTGGCACCTGACATTCCCGTAACTCCCGCTGTTGGCTTCATACGACGTTACCTGTCTCGTCGCTTGCACCTCGGCACAACATCCAGGAACATGACTTCACCCATCATGCGTCACAAACGGCGGCGCTGTTTCTTTATCGTGTGGCTTCAAGCACGCCGTCGGTACCCTTAAACATCACGGCTTTCATCCGCCATGGCGTATTGCGATTGGCCAGCTAGCTGCTAGCACATCAATAGATCGTCTAACATTGCCGTAGAACAACGCCACCACACACCGTCAGTTTTCGATTGTGCTGTCAATTTGGGCCAAGATATGGGCTTGCCAAAGTTGCCCGGGAGGTCATACTGTAACCCCAACTGAGAAAGCACCCTCACCCTGTCAATGACTCAACGATGCCTGAGGGCTGGACTTTCTCTCAGCGGCGCCTGTAACGTCACTGTCTAGTTACCTCATACCTTCTGGACCTACTGGAGGCGACTAGCCATGTGCTACGTTCTCGTGTTCAACAGTTTCACTAACCGGCTGTATCCTTAACTTTGTCGCCCTGATGTTCAGCCTCGTGGTTTTTAAACGAATGAGCTCCGGCGGGGCTATAATCCGAATGTTGAATTAATCCTATTCGCACAATGGACTCTCGATTATCGACGAAATTTCCTGCAGTATGGTACGACTTTGCACCAGCATTGTTTCAGCCCACTGCCAGTTGGTAGCCGCATTGAATTGCATGCTCCACTGTCTCTAACGTCGAACCAGACTCGTGTGCTGCAAGTGCAATACATTGCGGAATGACGTGCGTTAGAAACCTTCCTGGCGCATACCTGCGTGTAGCAGGATAGACGAATCCACTCAACAAGATCGGAGACATCTGCCAAACCCGGCGAATTTTCGAGACAGACATCAAGTCCGCATTCGTACGTACAAGCGCGGCAAGATCACGCACTTGAGCTGTCAGCTTTTCACTACTGTACTATGACCGTTGCTTCACTACTGCTCCGCCGTTGAAGATGTCGGCCTAGACCAGGTAGTCCAGGAACATGCCCTTCTGACGAAGTTTGTTCAGCCACCAGTCCACAGCCCCTCCAAAAAAGTGAGCTCGTCACAGACGTTCGCTCACGCCCGCACCGCAAACGCAAGGGCAACGCTGTTTCACCAGGCGGGCCACTCCGTATTCAAAAATCCTTCAGGGCGTCTAGGCACGGGTCCGCGAGGTCTTCCCGACTACCTCTACTCCAAGGCCCTTATGCGGTTGACGTTGTGTGCGCGGATCAAGCGACAGCCTTAGCGGACCTTTCCGCCCTGGATGCTCATCACGGTCTCACCACGTTCATCCGTGTATTTCTTCATGTTGGTTTGAACTAACTAGGAAACTTGGTTGTTTCAGACATCTTTGCCACGTGGGATGAAGGTGGAAATTGCGGGGAGCTGGGTCGGACAGAGCGAAACTGACTCATTCAGCAATGACATCCACACACTTCTAGCGGAGCAGTTGGCCGATGACGATGGTAGTCTGCTACCGATCATTTTCGGCTTGGCGGAAGACGAAGAACATCCGATTCGGACGACTGTGGTGCGGTACTAAGCTACAACGCCACCACGAATCTCGATGACAGCCGTAAAATCTAGGCACGCTACATCGTATTATGCAACACCAAGCTGCACCGCTCACGATGTGTCGATATGGGGAAACATCCGCGAGCTGCACGGCAATACCATCTCGCATATACACACCAATCAGGAAGCTGCCAGCAATCTTATCTCCACGAAGCTCTATTCTGTCCTCTCGATCGCTGCAAGGGGTCTGGTCCGGTAGGTTTGATCGAAGCCGAAAGTTCGACCACTGCAGGCATTGCATGATCGAACACTTCGGTGCGGACCGTTTGTCTGGACAGGACATCCGCAAGTTACGTGTCAACCTTACCACCCACCATGCTGCACAGCTCGCAATCCTGCAGGTAATTAAAGTCTTTAATGATGCCATGATGATCACTACGCAACATTTAGCGGCGCCGTTGGTCTGCTCTTTGAAACAACTCCGATGCTGCAAGATGTGCAGGAGCGATCTGGGCACCTAGATGAGAGAGCTGGATATCGATACCCTGCGCGTGCGTCTTCCCCAACGAAACGCTTGCAGAAATGATTGGGCACCAGTGCGACATACCATCAGATACCCCATTGCCTCTTGGAGTAATGCCGGGACATCCTCATCTCCCATTCCAAGCTTGTGGATGCCCCAATGTGGTCGAGCAAACAACGAGCATCCTTACATATCATGCCCAACAACGCCCAACAGGGCCAGCACGTTGGAACTTGTTGAGAAGAGTCACAAAACCGGTTGCAGTCGTGAGGGGTGGCACCCGCACTCGTTGTTTAGGGCTGACTGTGTAGCACTCGTTTCGTTCATGATCAGCAGATAAACGGTTGCTGATCTCGCCGAGAGAAGGACCGAAGAAGCCGTTGGATTGACATGGGGAGGCTTCGCGCCGTCCACGGTTTTTTGGCTTATCTCGGGGGATCTGTGACTGGGGTTTTGCAAGATTGTCTCTGGTCGCGATCTCTGCGGTGTTACTTTTTGGGGTAATGGCGCTGTTGGAGCTCGCACATAGCACGCAATCGGGATGTTGTGGTCAGTCGGTCAATACAGGGGATGTGGCAATCAATAGTGATGCTGAATGCGGGTGCATGGAGCAGTGCTTGAGCCGCGTCGTTCTTGCTGGGTTGAGCGGCTCCAGCTGCACTGAATGGCTGACGAACCCCGCAAGGGAATGCGCGTTCGCTCTTGCAGGCGCTGGACGCGCACTGCAACGTCTCCCAGGAAGCTGCCTTCGCAATGTGGCATCCATTTGCCCGCGATAGCGTAGTCCCTTTGGGAGTTCCGTTCCTCTGGAGCCTCATTCTTTTTCGAACCGCTCTCCTCCGTTGGCATGCTAACTGCCGTGTTCGCCCAAAGTCTGACATAAGATCAGTGCGAGCCTGATCAGTGCACGTGGGAGGCAATCGCCCCTTTTCTCATCCCTTTCACAGTGCAGTGCGAGATTGGGTACGTGTAGCTGCAAGAGACGTAATGTAGGTGTAGTGATAGTGGATAAACGGCAAGTAACGAGTGTTGTTAAAAATACACATTGCCACCCAGTACCATGAACGTGGGTATTACCATGGTGAAGGCACATTCGAGCCTTCGCCTAAGATATTGTCCAAAGCCACGGATGAGCTACTTGGCCCTCCCAACTTTCTGCCGTGTGCTTCCAGGAGCTTCTCATGGCAAAAGCCGATGAGCTTCTTTCGAAACTCGGGATTGCTATGTGTGCACAGCTGATAGTGATTGCAATCAGCTACCATCATCTCCTCGTTTGGCAAGCCCATCTTGGCCATTTCGTACGTGACAATCTGCGGTATACGTTAGACACTTTTTTCATCAAGGCCCATTATCGTTGATGATGGGTATGCTGTCTCCGTGACGCACCACAAATTTCTCTGCTCTCCATCTGCGCCCAGTTAACCTCGTCTCCTCTATTCGCATTGCATCGCTTTCTCGCCCATCCCAGACTGATAAGATGGGCAGACGGGGGACATTTTGCCGGATATACTTGTCGAACTCCTCTGACAGAGAGCGGACATATTCGGTATCTTTCAGGTCTAGGAGCTTCCTGTGAAGGGGCTCCGACTTTCTGGATGTCGGTGCTCTCGTAATGACGCCTAGTATGCTCTCTGCATCCGTCGAGTTTGCTTTCGTGAGATGGGGTGTTCCGAGTAGAGCAACTCCGACTGTGTTGTTGACTATGTCCTCATACCAACGGTTTGGAAAGCCTCGGTGCTGGGGTCCACTTGAATTCCAGAAGAACTGGCTGGTATTAGCGTTGATCTACCTTTATTGCTGCACGAACGTACGTCTTTGATGATCAAGCCTCCGACACCGTGTCCCAGAAAAACCATAGGTATAGACATAGTCTGTGGAATTCGATTAGATGAAGAGGTTTTTTCGAGAGTGTGAGTACCTACACCAGTCTGCTCGCGATGTTCGTGGAGCAGCTGCATCATTGTGTGCGAACTCTCCCGTAATTGATCCCAGCGGCGAAAAGCTTTTCCATTAACTCTCAAGTCATGTTCGAGTGCAAAGACTTGTATGTTCATGAAGTGCTTTGTGAAATCGCGTACAAGTGGCTCATTTTGTACTCCGTCTCTGCTCCATATCTCGACGGGGGGGTCACCCACACCTGGTATTACGATGATGCTATATGTGTAAATATGAAGGTATGAACTTTGGTCGTATGTATGTACTTACAATGCATCTGGGTCCATCGTGTGCGTGAGGTCGTTTGGTAAAGACAGTGGCCTGAGCGAGCAGCCTTTTTGTTGGATAACAGAAGGATCTTTTGACCATCCTGGGCTGACCGGGCTGACGTTGTCCACGGAAAGCGATGAAAATGGCATCGCTCTCGTCCAGTGACCGCTGGGTGTTCTTGGTGAGGTCTGCGATGCTGACTGAGAAGGTGATGCCTCTGATATAGTTGTGCTGGGCGAAAGGTTATAGTCATTGACTGCGATAGGCCGATCAAAATACTCCTCAGACTCTTCCAAAGACTCTTTACTGTCTAGAGCAGACTGTATTGTGACTGATGGTGTTATATGTGACGGTGTTGTACTAGCGGAGGGCCGCTCTTCTTCTGAATTCCTTGAACTCTTCGCGCTTTCCGCTCTTGCCGAGACTGTTGGGCCGCCGACTTCAGTGTCTGACCAAGCTAACGACTCTTGAGACTGTAACTTTTGCACATTTTCGTGCACCTGATCTTTAAAGATGGCATAAGCATTGGCGGAGTCATTGGGAGATAATGACGGTTCTTCTACTAGTGTCGTAAGACCAAGGGCATTGTCGTGGGAGTCTAGCGAGATAGACTGATCCTTTCGCCGTGAAAAAGTGGAAAACTTGTCCATGGCAGCGGTTTTGACAGCATCGAGAGTCTTGTACACTAGAGTAGAAGCTTGTGTATCAGGAGTAGTCTGTGATGCGATGGAGGCTGACTTCGGATCGTGACGTAAGAGAAACCGGGCGATATCAAGCGTACTGCGACCAGTCTCGGTTGACGTTGATGTTGTCCTATGCATGGTCAGAACAATAGAACTGCATTAGATGGAAAGGGCTGTTATGTACTCCAGGGATTCGAGCGACGCTGCAAGAGATTCCGCTCTTTGTTCTGCAAGCCAAGTATCGTGCAGTGCGCCGGAGGCCGTGAGTCGATCTTCGGGAATGACTGCCAAAAGTCTTTCGATGAAATCACATCCAGGCTGTGAGACGTCGCACTTCTGTAGCAAGTCCTTAGGGAACGGCGTTTTGTAGTTGACGTAGGATAGCAAATCTTTCGCGAAAGGGCGCACCCCAGTAAGAGCCATGAATACCAATGCGCCCAAGGCCCAGATGTCTACAGCGTTTGTATATGGTTTCGAGTCGGCGAAAGTCTCAGAATGAAGTTTACCGCCGTACGCGAGCATTTCAGGTGCCATGAAGGCAGGTGTACCAGTGACTGTATGATGCAACTCGGCGTTATCCATACGCTTGCTGATCCCAAAATCGCCGAGCTTGATCCACCAACGAGGGCCAGTCTCTTTGATGAGTACGTTTTGTGGCTTTAGGTCGCGATGAATGAATTCGTCTTTGTGCATACATTCGAGCCCTTCTAGTATCTGGCAAGCGATTTGTTGAACTTCGAGCTCTGGTAGTGGGCCGGACTTGTCGAGATAACAGCCTAGATCTCCGTGGGGAAGGTATTCCATCGAGATGAAGACATGCTCGTCATTTTCGTACCATCCGAACGACTTGACGAACCATGTATTGAACTAGATTGACAGGTGCATCAGCTCTGTACAACTCGGTAGACCACGGCTCGAACGGAGATAGAGGAAGACTTACCCGGTCTTTGGAAAACTTCGCTATCGCATGCAGCTCGCGATTGTAATTCTTTGCGTCTTCCTTGTTTATTTTCTTGACAGCTCGTACGTCGCCGTCGCCACCTCCTACCAGCTTCTCGAGCCAAACGACCCCGAATGCTCCCTGCCCAAGTTCTTGGTTCGCCTTCCACTTATGCTTCTTTCGATCGATCAAATGAATCGTGTAATCTTTCTTGAAGACAGTGTCCAGCTTCGTGTCGTTCACTAATTCCGACGCCGGCGCTCTAGCTCCGGTGTCTTTGGGAAGTGGGTCAGCCATATGCGCCAAGGGGATGCAGCGAAGGTCTGGGATGGAGTAGACACAACAACAGAAAAAACTGATGGCCAGGTAGCGACGAAAGAATTACGGACGGACAGTGTGCGAGGGGTGGGATGCACTTCGGAAGCAGCAGCGGCGTCATGATGCGACCCCAGCCTACCCCGCTGATGTATCCAGGTGGCACGGCAGGCACTGCCAGTCCCGCCCCCAACCACGTACAAGCGGAAGAGATCAACCCTGTAAATCTTCTCGTATGTATATTAGCCAGCCTTGCGCTGTATCACACAGCCGCTCCCGTGTCTATTCGCAGCTTCAACGGCCCCTCACTCGAAGCCCGCGACGACTATCACTGCCCGTTCCGCCTACTCTTTGACTGTACGCCGCCACCCTGTCTATTTCCGCCCCTGCATGCTATCCCGCCTTACCTTTGTTACTCACTCCTCCCAACAACTGGTCGGGTATCGCAGTCACATTCAAGCCTTTATACGACAGTCGATCAACACTGCGCAATGTCTATCGAAGTGGCCCTTGCAATCATCGCGACTGCTGATCTAGCGATCAAGTGAGTGCTTTGCCTGAGCAATGTACTCATGATAACTGAGCTTCTAGGTATGGAAAGAATCTCGTCCAGATGTATGACAGCTACCAGAATGCGGACAAAGAGATCGGCGAAAGGCTGTTGAAAATGCAAGTGATCTGGCACCAGGTTCAATGGCAAGTCCAATATCTCATGCGCGTTCGAAAGGCTCTAGAAGAGGAGTTCTTGGCTATGCAAGACCAGATACTCGGACAGTTGGTAAACAGGTTGAAGGCGGCCATGAGCGAAGTTCAGAAACTCGAAAAGAAACAAGGTCCTACTGAAACCGACCCGAAGGCGACGAAAGACACGCAATATAGCAAATGGAAGTACCCTTTCATCAAGAAGGGCTTGGATGCTGCCATAGGCGAGTTGAAGGAATGGCAGGGATATTTCGACCCGGGTTGGTACCACATCATGCGGATCTCAGACAACTTGGTCGACACCGGGTTTAAGAAGCCAAAGTCATCTGCGGAACAAGAACCAATGGAGGGTGCTGCGCGTAAGATAATGTCCAAAGCGAAGACTGTCCGCAATTGCCTGAGAATGGATCCCCAAGGCGGAAGTACTACTGTCTTCATGAAAGCGGAAGAAACGTCAAACTACAGCTACACGGCAATACCGTACTCGACTGCATACATCTGCCATCGCAGCTCAAAAGACCCGCTAATAGCAGACTCTGTCCCCGCCACGCCAGGCATCAGCCTCGACATTCAGAGCAGAGACGTGCGCGACCTTGCCCGCAAGCTCACAGACACAGACCCAATAAGCTTCTGCTTACTCAAATGTCGTGGCGTTTCGCGAGTATACAAGACCAACGGCTCTCTCAAAGCCTTCGACTTCCATTTCCACATACCGTCCTCCCTACACTCACCGCAGAGTCTGCGCAACATCTTGATCGAATCGAAGCCAAACATGAGTCTCAGCGTACGCTTCCGCCTCGCACAGCAGCTAGCGCGCTCGTTGAGCTACGTCCACATGTACGAATTCGTCCACAAAGGCATTCGCCCCGAAACAGTCCTCATCTTCGACAGCGGCAAGACCGAGCTCGCACATTCGTTTTTGCTTGGCTTTGAGAAGTTTCGCGCAGATGCAGGTCGCACATTAAAGACTAGCGACTCCGTTTGGGAGAGGGATCTGTACCGCCACCCAGAACGCCAGGGAGAGAAACCAGAGGAAGCATACAAGATGCAGCACGACATCTACAGCCTGGGAGTCTGTCTCCTGGAGATAGGTATGTGGCGCACACTCGTCACGTATAGCAGTATGGAGGGAGAGCCCACCCCGTCGCAACTCCTGCCGCCACCGGATTACTCTGAGAAGGACGAAGTGGGCAAGGCCAAGTCGCTCAAGCATACGCTCATTGAGATTGCCATGCGTGAACTACCCAGTTGCATGGGCGATAAGTATACGGGTATCGTCATCTCGTGCTTGACATGCCTGGATACAACCAATCCCGATTTCAGCGACGAGAACGACTTTAAGGATGAGGATGACGTTATCGTTGGGGTGCGGTACATTCAAAAGGTCAGCAACAAGACTCCCACACAACTGATACAGTACTAACTCGATGGTCAGATCCTGCTTGGACTGAGTAACATCTCCGTCTAGAGGGTCGTCACTAAGACTCTGCGGCATCACTCACTTACACACGATGCATGAACACAGCACAATCAAGCACATCAAAACACATCTCTAATCTCTCACTCCCACCATACAGTGCCTTTTCCATTTCCATTTAACTCTCCACCAACCATGCGCCCATAGGGTATCATTGCTCCATACCCAGTGCAAACCAGTCCATGTCCATACCATGCTATGCAGTACTTATCGTGTTTGGAAACCAAAACAAAAACCCCAAGAAACGCCCTCGCTATGCATACAAAATCCTTATATGATACACTTCCTCTTCTTCCTCCTCCAAACTCAATCCCCAACTGCGACCTCCGTGATCGCAGTACTCGTGTGACGCGTCGGTTTAATAGTGAAGGCAAGGCCAGGATGCGGATACGGAAGGATCAGACGACTAATCCGACAATTCGATAGCATCGTCTTCCGTCGCGCCTGGTTTACCGTTCGCACCTGGATCCGCGGCACCACCGCCGCCTTCATCGCTACCATTCTCGCTACCGTCTTCTTCATCTTCGTCTTCGTCCTCGTCTTCTTCGTCGAAGGACTCTGCATCTTCATCTTCTTCCATCTCGTCTTCCTCATCGAGATCAGAGTCCTGGTCGTAATCGAGCAGTTCCTCGTCGTCGCCGTCGTGCATCTCAGAGTCTGCGTCTTGGTCTTCTGCGTCTCGGTCGTAGTACTCTTCCTGTTGCTCCTGCTGCTGATGGTGCTGGTAGGGTGCAGCCTGGGAAGGAGTAAATTGAGCTTCGGGATAAGATGATGTAGTGCCGAAGTGGTTGTAAGACTGGACGTCCTCTTCGTTGTCGGTCATGATGGCGTGCTCATCCTGAGCATCGACATCGATGACGTGTGCACCGTTGATTGATGCGAAATCGCTAGTGAACTGGTCTTGCTTGTAGCTCATCGGCTGGGATGAAGTCTGTTGGACGAAGGAAAGCTGCGTGGGTATCGGTGATGAGATATCCAGTGGCTCTGTGCTGGCGGGTCGGGTGCTAGCAGGTGATTTGCTGAGACCATTTTCGATTCTGTAGGCGCGAACAGCCTCTGCGCCTTGGCCGTAAAGATGGCGTGGTACGAAACGGCTTGTACGTTCCCAGTATGCTGGACGGTTTTTGGTGGATGTGCTGGTGCGCAGGGTGCTGCCGTACGTGGATGTACCGTATGTGGAATGCCGGCTCTGAGATGCAGAGAGTCCAAGGTTGGGCACGCTGCGACTCCAGTCGTGTTGAACATTTGATGAAGTGGCCGCGGGAGATGCAAGACCCTTAGCCCGTGCGATGAGCTGGCTGGCATTTGCATCAAATGATCCTGATCGATACGACTTGCCTGGGGCGAAAGAAGGAGGCGGCATCTCAGCTCTTGAATCTGCCAGCGTCCGTCGGGCCCTTGCGATGAGATCGTTCGTTGAATCGTTGAATGAAGACCGTCCGCTAAACGACATCGCGCCGTTAAAGGAGTGAGACGGTGATGTCGTGGATGTTGATTGCCTAAATGACTCTTTGATGGCTTCGGCACGAGCGCGCTGTTCTTCGAGCATAGTTCTCGGTGCTGGCTGTTCATGCTGATCCGGCGCAGGCGACGCTGGTGACAACTTGGGTCGCTTGGGCTCGATGAGCTTGGGCTTCTCTTCGTCTGATGAACCAAAGTCGAAGCTGCGCTTCCGGTGCTTGCTCGGATCGATGCCCATAGCGCGCAACCTGAACCAATCCGTCTCGGTCCGGTCTACTGGTGCATTCGCAACGGCTTGCTGATATGCCTGGGAGTATGCGGCAATTGACGTGCTGGCGTTGCTTGTGCTCTTGTCAAAGGTAGACTCAGGAGATGGGTTGTTGACCGGCACTGATCTGGCTGAGTTCACGCCATTCATCTCCGAGCTCTGAGCCTGGTGTCGCTGTTGCGTTCGCTTGGCGCGCCGAGAATTTGAAGGTTGCTGGGACACCGATCGCCCCTCTGGTGGTACTACTGCTGTCGTCTTACCGTTCGATGTTGCCGGCTGTACCGGTGCAGGCGCATCTGCCGGTTTTTCGTCTGGTCCGGCCTCCGTCTTTGCCCGCTGCTCTTTCAGTCGCCTCCTTCTCTCTCGTGCCTTTTGTAATTTCTTCTTCTTTTGCACCGCCAACATCATCTTGGCCAAGCCTGCCCGCTTCAACTCATCTAGATATCTCTTATGCTTCTGATCTACCATCGCCACTCTCCTCTCCATCTCCGCAGTGATTGCAGCTTCCTTCGCTAAATTCATTGCAGCGTTTTCGACGAACTGCATCAGCAATCCTTCCTGGGGGTGGAACATAACATCCGCCGTGAGCGCATGCAATGCCGAGTCCTTCTCTCGTATCCGTGTTTGCCGTGCTTCCTCCTCTTGTGCTTGACGGAATCTCGCCTGTCGAGCCAACTCTTCTTGCTGCTCGCGAGCCTTGCGCTCTCGATCAGCCTGTTCTTGCCGCTGTCGCGCAGCCGCAGCTTCCGCAGCCTCAGCCTCATGCTTCTGCTCTGCTTCCTTCGCTTGCTTTGCTCGTTGGGCTTCCTGTACTCGTTGGCGTGCTTCGTCCAGTTTCCGTTGCTTCTCAGCTGCTTCCTTCTCTGCCTTCTGTGCTTCATCTTCTTGTGGAGAAGTATCCGTCGGAGGCGGTGTTCCTGATGGGGTGAAGGACTGTTGTGGGGTTTCTTGCGAGGGTGTAGCATTGAACGAAGACCCAGTAAAGTTGAAAGCAGGAGCTGCCTTGGGTGTTGAAGACTGAGGCTGCGCGGTGTTGTTCTTGAAGAAAGGATTCGCGGTAGTCGGTGCAGTCGT